TTTGACGGCTGTGACTTCGGTATGCAGGATAAGGACGGTATGCCGATCAGGAAGCAGTGGAAGGTTGCGACGACCTCCAAGGAGCTCATTGATGAGCTGTCAGGTCGGAAGTGCAAGCACGAGAAGGGATACCTTCATGCACGCATTGAGGGATCGGTTACCCCGACAACTGCCCTCTATCCGAGTGAAATGTGCGAGGCTATCGTTAGGGCGTGGTATCCAGATGGCACGTTCAAGAAGGTCGCGAGTGCAATGCCGGTCGAAGTTGACCCTGTTGAGCAGCGATGGAAGAAGAAGCCGAATACCTTGTACGTTAGTCTTAACAGCGAGACTGCCAAGATCCCGACGCGGGCTACTTCGGGGAGTGCGGGTTTGGATACCTATGCCTCTGAGGGAGCGTGTATTCCCGCAGGGGGGTCAGGTTTGGTTAGCACCGGAATCTCGATAGAGATGCCCACTGGGGTATACGCTAGGATAGCTCCCAGGTCAGGACTAGCCGTGAAGAACAGGATCGCAGTAGGCGGTGGGGTCATTGATCCCGACTACGACGGGGAAGTTAAGGTCATCCTCTTCAATCATGGGGATGAGGACTTCATCGTGAATCCTGGGGACCGTGTTGCGCAGATCGTATTGGAGCGCGTTATGCTCATTGACGCGTCCATCGTTCCCAGGAAAGCCAAGCGGGGAACCGATCGGGGATCCGCTGGTTTCGGAAGCACTGGTATAGCTGCTGCCGCTCCTACGATTGGATCTGATGGAAAGACCTTTGAGTTCTCTATGCCCAGGGGGGAGATATCCCTCTCTCATCGGCCAAAGAGCTCGGGTGTCTTTCCTCCCTTGTACGCTTGTGTCGCTAGGCCAGTAAACAAGAAGGAACAAGCTGGAAATGCCAAGGCTAAGGCCGCTCTTCAGAAGGAGTGGGACAAGTTAACATCGCAAGGATGCTGGGACTTGTCGACTGTCCAAGAATGGCATGATGTTGCGGCCAAGGCACGTAAGGAAGGGGAGAAGATCCATGTTGGTAGGATTTTCGACATCTGCGTCGAGAAGAATCACGAGCTGCCGGAAGACGATCCGAATCGCAAATACAAAGGGCGAGTCGTGTTCGAGGGATGTTTCGTCCGTGATGAGATCGGGCATTGGGCCCTGTTCTCCGAGAACACCTCCTGCCCCGCCACTATGGCGGCGGGTAAGATGGGTGATGCTCACGGGTTACTCCCAGGGAATCTTCTGGAAGTGAGTGATGGGGAGTCTGCGTACACTCAGGCCCGCTTGAAGGGAAAGAAGACTTGGGTGAGGATTCCTCGTGACCAGTGGCCACCTGAGTGGTTCGACAGCAGCGGAAATCCCAGGTATAAGGACCCAGTCGTTGTCCTCGTGCTCGCACTATATGGACATCCGGACGCTGGTACCTTTTGGGAACAGCACTGCGAGGCAATGCTGAAGAAAGTCGGATACGTCAAGGTGAAGGATTGGGCCAGCGTGTTTAGGCATGAGGAGCTCGACCTCTTCCTTGTCGTGTACGTGGATGACTTCAAGATGAGTGGGCCGGCGAAGAACATCGCAGAAGGATGGGCGCTGATCTCGAAGGTCATCAAGATGGAGGAACCAAGGCAGCTCAAGAGATATCTTGGCTGCGAGCACGAATTCACGCAACAGGTGGTCAAGGGTCACTTTGACCCGAGACTGGCGTGGACGGTCGGCAATCCTCCTGATAAGGAGCAACCCGACTTGAGGTTTGGTCCAGAGGGGTTACTCTCTAAGGACATCCCCAAGCCGGAAACCACGATAAGGTTCATCAAGTACAGCGAGAGCAGCTTCATGCAGGCGTGTGTCGATAGATACATTGAGCTGTGTCAGGGAAAGTACCCGAAGAAGCTGCAGAAGGTTGAAACTCCGTTCCTGGACGAGAGCAAGCCGGAGTTTGACGAGAATTCCGTCAATCCTGAATTTGACAAGCTCTTCAACCAGGCGATGGACATTGAGACCGTCAACGCACAGCCGGGATGCCTCGGGAATGACGCGGCGGCGGTGCTGATGAAAGTTCTCGGATGGGCAGGTATGACCTAATTCGTCCCGTGCAGGCGTTAGCCAGCCGGGTCACGAAGTGGAATCATCTGTGTGACCGCAAGCTCCACAGGTTAATTTCATATGTGAACTCTACGCTCGACCTCCATTTGTACGGTTGGGTGGGCGATAGCCCAGAGTTCATTGAGCTGGTTGCTTACTGTGATGCGGATCTGGCTGGGGATCGTACTGATTCCAAGAGCACATCGGGAGTGCTTATTTGCCTTGTGGGTCCTAGGACCTACATGCCCATCACTGGAGTAAGCAAGAAACAGACTTCCGTTTCGAAGTCGACTCCTGAAGCGGAGATTGTTGCTCTCGACCATGGAGTGTCTAAGGAGGGAATGGCATTAGCTACCCTCTGGCAGCACGCTATTGGGAAGGGGAAGGAGACCCGAAGGAGAAGATAGGCGGAGATGACGCTCCTGGCGGTAGCCGGGGGTCGGCCGAAGGGCAGAGGAGAGAAAGGAAATCCCGTTGGGATCCCGATGAGACTGTGAAGGAGTCGACAAAGCGGGAGGCGTCAACAAGGCCTGATGACGTCGACAGCAGACCAGGTGCGGCAGCGAGAGAAGCTAGTGGAGATGATCTTCACTCCGCGCTTGGCAGGTCTTCGGCAAAGGACGCGGTAGCGCCTTTGACGGCCTCCAAGGCGATGGCAAAGAAGCCTGAAGGGGGTGAGATCAGGTTGCAGTCGGCGGAGCGAGCAGCTGCGAGCTCGGTGGAGGGTCACTTCCTGGTGTTGCCGGAGAGTTCGGTGGTGAACGCTTTCCTGACGATGTCACCCGATAGGGTGCTGAATAAGCAGGTCAGGGATTTCATCAGGAATGGTGAGAATGCTTCGGCGTTGGAGGCTCTTAACCAGATAGTGTCGAACTCTCGCCTCGGGAGAGGACGTCGAGATTCGGATGTATCCCGTACTCCTTCTCGGAGGTCCGTTAGGACAGTGGACACCAGGGATTCTCGAGAATCGAGAAGGCGAAGGTATCGTCCGCGGCGCGACGAAGATCGTGACCGGAGGAGGGACGATGCTCGAGATCGTCGTGATGATGAATCACACGATCGGGAGCGGGATCGAAGGCGAGATGATCGCACGAGATCCGAGAGGGATCGTGATAGGGACCGTGCGCGGGGCGGACGTGACCGGAGGAGACGTGACGATAGCCGATAGGCTGAGTCACGAGGATTGCGGCCGATAGGCTTGCGTCCATTCTCCAATGGTCAGCGCGGTGCGGAGATGGTGATGTTCCTCCCGAACCGCTGAGGCGCGGAGATCATGTCTCTTCCGTACCGCTGCCCGGCTGCTGGTCGTGCTCATCATGAAGTAGTGTGAGTGAGAGGGGAAGCAAACTGATGGGGGGATACTCCCAGGTTTGCGGAATTCAAGCATTTTTCAGGTACGCATGATCAGGAGTACCTCTTGCCGATAGGCGAGGGTACTAATGGACATACGTTATTCTTTATTTCATGGCTTCTGATAAGAATTAAACTTCTTGCATTGTTGATGCAAACAGTTGTGGCCTAGTGCCGTCATGTGGACTCTTCCACAAGGTGTGTTGGACAGCGTTACCCCGATTAATTCGGGGTGGTGGCGGGAATTTAATGCCCGGGATGTCGCGCAACTGCCTTTGTGGGTTTGTTCCACCGCTGACGGCGGTAGTGTCCAGCTGTTTGCGGACACATGCGAGCAGTTAAATCCTATGAGTAAATGGCACGCTCCGCCCGTCAAATGACGGACTCCTCGTGAGGGGGGTGTGATTAGCCATGGCATCATGGTTAACTTCATCATCAGGGACGTCGCAGTAGTGACCGACCTGTGATGTTTGGCTCAAGTTTGCGGGTCCGTCGCGCCTCGGATGAGCGTCGCCGGGTCCCCGCGTCGATCACCTTCGTGTCGGTGGAGAAAGAGACATCGGCCCGGGGCAGATTGGTGGGGTCCGCCCGTGCGGTTCATCGTCGATCAAGGTTGCGGGTACTTGTTTACTTGTTTTGGTATTTCCCTTTTGGTTGTTGTTCTCTGGTGTGTGGGAAACCCTGATCTTTGGGACCGGGGATTGGTTTGCTTTTGGGGAACCTTTCTTTTGTGGCTTGTTTACCCCAACTTACCCATTGCCTGGGCACAGGCTCGTGCCCGAATCACACAATATTTCCATCCCAAAAGCCAACTGGGTCTTTTCGTCAAATCGGAGACCCACTCTTCTGAAAACCTGTGACATTGCGTGTGTGTGGTTTTGGAGGAAACAGGCTGTAAAAAATCCTGGCACTTTTGGTGCTTTTCTTGCTGTTTGCTGCTTTTGGTCTGTGATGTGTTGAGTTGCAGTTGTGAGCGGGGGCGGGGGGTGGGTGGGGGAGGCGGGTGGGGGGGGGGGAGGAATTTACATTGTTATGAAAGTTTGCACGCACACGAACACACATGCCAGTGCACGCAGCTGGCAAAAAGCGTCTGCAGAGACACCAATGTCCATCCCAGCAAACATGAGTTTGCTAGAAGAGTCTCTGTGACGAGAGCGCGGAACCGACCCGCTTGCTTCATACTCAATGTATGGACAGAGGCTGGCAATCATTGCAAGACTATATCACAACCCAGATTCACCCTAATGTGTTTCGCTGCATGCATAGCTTGTTTGGAGGCATCGGCTTCCATTGAGATCGTTGGCTGCAGCTTGACGGAGAGTTGACAAATTGCTGAAAAGCCAGGGAAAACACGTGCGACACAGCTTTCGCTTGCAGGTTTGTTAACAGGCTGTGACCTTTTTGGAGGGTACCTTGCTTAGTTCAAAAGGGAAACCACAAAGGAAGCCACACTTTGTTCGCGTCCCTTTGACACCTACCCACGCTCGAGTTGTTTCTTTGGTTGGTGCTGTTCATGTTGAGTGGCAGCAAACAACACATGTTGCGGGCCCCGAATTTGGGCGGTTGGCGAGTTGTCTCAGGCGTGCAAGACTTGCTCTTGGACCTGGGTGGCGGGTGCTTCGGTATGGAGTCATTCCAAGGCTAATGACTCTTGCTTCGAGAAAAGCTGCGTGGGGCAAAATCACTATTACCCTCCCACCCACAAGCACTAGCACGGCACCTGACAGAAGGTCGCATGAAAGGATTTTCATCTTCCAGTTTCCTTGCCACAGGTGCCTTTGGTTAGTGGGGAGGGTAATAGTTTGCAATATGTTTCCTGAAGTACCCCAGAATCACATTCCAGCTATTGAAACCCTATGTTGAAATAACTAGCTTTTTGGCACCCTTTAAGAGACAAGCCAAGAGGAGGCTGTACATGTTTGAGCGGTCTTTGGAAAGCGGGACGCGACCCCGAACGCCCTTTTTGCCATCTTTGTGCTCTCGCGGCCGAGTGCACCGAAGCCTTTGGCCGAACCCGTGGGAAGCGGCGACTGGCGACCCCTCCCTCACTTCCCCAGTTTCTATTTTTCTAGGCTTGGAGTTTGGAATTGCAGATGCTAAAAAACTGATGGCATGAATCCTCGCATGGTGTCCTTCAAAGGGCCCGTCACTCTTTTGGACCATCATAGTCGGAAGCAACCTGGTCTTGGTTACTTTGGTTGCCAATCCACTCAGGAGGGCATGGGATGTGGTATGGCTTCCCAAGTGACTTTTGGGTCATGTCATCACCGATCCCAGGCATGAACCGTCCGATAAGCATGCGCAAACGCAAGAACTATCTAAGATCCAATGGGGGCTACAGCTTTGAATCCGTAGGTCCAATGTCTTTGTGGGACGCCTTTGGGTGACATTTACTGGGAGCCAGAAGGAAAAGCGCAAAGCCACTCAAAACGGGGTGTCCGGAGGAAAAGGCGCATTTCTTGGACATCTAGGAATCTAACGTCAGGGGTCCTGACTGGAAAAAAGGAATCCCAGAAACTCTCATTGATGAGAGCGGGTGTTCTACGAATCAGTTTCAGCTTTGCTTCCCTAAAAGGCTTGCAACGCTAACTTTGGTTCACTTGGCATGCTGACGCGTATGCGAAAAACAGTGCCAGAGTAACAGGGTGATACTTTGGCCACCTGTTTGCAAAGGACATCTCCAGAAATGCCGAGATGGCATTGGGACGGCTCCATCGGGCACTCTTCAGTCTTGGCCACCTTGTGAGTCAATTTGTATGTATGGCAACATACTGTACTTATACAGATATAATCATACGTATACACATATATATATATATATCTATATATATATATATATCTACATTTACATACACGTCAGTTGCCATATCAGATGCTGCTGTCTTGATTCTGTGAAAGCATGGGTCATGTTTTGGATGGATCCTCAGAGCTTGCTTCGAACCTTTCAACGACCAAACCACAAGGGCAGACAATTTGTACCGCAAATGTGCAAAAAAAACACAAATTTGCCTGGGTGGTTTATCCCAGGGTTTCATCCATCTCAATTGGTGCATGTTTTTTCCATCCCATCCAGGCCCTCATTTTGAGCTAACGCGACTCCCTAAAGGCGAGCGAATACGTTTGGCCATTCACCGGGTTATTGCAAGTTGGACACTGGAAGAAAAGGAAACCAAGAGGGCCAATACTGTAGCGTGACAACAAGGCCCTTTCGTTGGAATCTCCTTGTGATTTCCCTTAGCAGTCACCCCACATTTGATGTAACCTGGACTTCTTTTGGATGGCGTTTGACGGACAAGGGATGCCCTGGTACGGCTGGTGTTCAAAAGGAAAGCTAGGAAGCCAGAAGGAAACCCAAACGGCACCAGAAAGAAACCAGACAGAAATCCAGAAAGAAATCCAGGAAAGGAAAACTAAAGGGAAACAAATGGGAAACAGACAGCAGACCAAAACAGAAGCCACCAATCATTGCAGGAGGTGCTGCTGCAGCGCGTCCAAGAGGCTAGGATCGTGCACGGCCAATCGAGTTCCTTAGGGTCGAATTTGCCACCAGTCTTTTCAGTTAGCGTCCTTGGCCGCAACATAGGCTCCGGGTTTCCATGACGGCTCCGCTATGGACGTCTGAGGGGCACCGGTGGGTGGGGGGGGGGCTTTGGCTTTGCGGGGGCTGGCGGAGGGGTCGTCCCTTGGACGCTGGGGTGGGGGCCTTAGTGATCCGGCTGGTCTCAATGCAACGGCGGATCCCACCTATAGATACCCTATCCCACACGTAGATACCATCGATACCCTACTCCACGGGTCGGTGTTGCCCAGTTGAAGGGGAATGGTTGGACCCTTTATGGGCGCCGGGTCTTAGGTTTGAAGGGTTTCCGGGGGTTACGGTTGGGGATACGACCCCCGGACATATGTCTTTCAACCAGCAACATGTACAGAACGGAATCGTCATTTTGACCACAAAAGGGAAAGCCTACTTACTAGGTGGGTGGAAAGTCAAAGTTGGTCTTCTCCCAAGCACGCTAGGCAAGCAGATCTTGCGGGCAGTATGGTTTTGTAAGAGGGGCTGGCTTCGGGTTTGCGAGTTCGATCGATTGCGCTTGGCCATGTGAACCCTTGTGTTTTTGGTGGGCTAATGGGAAGCCCCCTCATCTCCACAGCAATCCAAGCCACCAAGAGGAAAGCTGATGCTTAGGCATATTTTGTTTGCGCTTCCATTTGTCGGGTTCCATTTGGAGACAAGCCCAGTGCAAGCCACGTTTTTGGAAGCTGATTTCGCCGACTTGCTGCTCGAGGTTTTTGGGATCAAGACTCGGGGCTCGCAAACTCCTCAAGTAGCCATGGTGCTGTCCCATTGCCCGAGACTCTCCAGCGACTTGGGGAAGGCTTTGGAGAGAGCGGGATACGGGTGTGTCTTTTGGACCCTTTTCGCCTTTGTTTAATGAGAAACCAAAAGGGAAAGAGGAGACTCTTCTTCGAAAGCTTGGGAAAGGCATAATTTGCAGGAGGTCTTAGAAAGCTTTGGATATTGTTTGCGACCTGGGAACACATGGGGGGAACAAGACATTGTAAGTCTGCGCGCTTTTTGCTTTTGTCCTTGAAGCAACGAGGTGGGGAAATATAATGACAGGTGTTTAGCTACCCCCCCTCCCCCTCCCCCTTCCCTTGCTCAACAATACTCGTCCAAAACACACTCTCAACTCAGAAGATTTTCAATCAGATCCCTCCACTTCCGCACTGATGATTGTTCTCATCCAACCCGAGCCCAACCGACACCCGGAGTTCTCTGAAGGCACTATTGAGGCGCTGCTTTGTGGATTGCTGAAAGAACTAGCCTGGCCAATACTCTGCACTGCCTGCCAGTCTACTTGGACATCCAGGTTGGACGGACAATTGTTCCAGACTATGATTGAGCGGTTTCGGAGACAGCGCCTGCAACAAGCTTATTGAGAAAGTTCAGGAGAATCGCTGGTACACATCAATACCAAGTTTGCCACTGTTTGTACCGTCTTGCATGTTTACTTGGCAAGATCGTAGGCGTTTTGGAAGATTCCAAACGGCTTTGACGCTGTTCAATGGCTTTCTCAAAAAAGGTACACCCCCTTTTGGCGGAATTTCATGACCCAAAGAACACAATCGGGGGCAGGGCTTGACCCGCCCAACACCTCAAAGGCCGGAGGCCCAGGTTTTTGGGCCGCCGAGCGTTTGGTTTGAATCGGCGAAGTCGCTCCCCGAGTTTCTGGACTTGTCACTTTTTGGGTTGGGGCCACTTTCGGGGGCGAAAGCTCAATTTTTTTCTCTGCCAATAGTAAGTGAGAGTTGTCTGGAGCAAGGCGCGTCTCAAGACTCAAGCTCCAAGGCCCGTGTGTGCCCAAGTACGACGCGAGGGAGGCTCTTATCCCGGAGGACTTGCCGGGGTACATGGCCGACGCCTTGCGATCTCCCGGGCAAACACCGGTTGCCGGCATAGTGGGCTTGTCTTTTTCTGAGGGCTTTTAGAGGGTACCGTCTTGGCGTTGCAAGGGAGAAAAGAAGGCAGACCACCACCCTTTGTGGGTTTCCGAAGCAGACAAACCCATCTTTCCTTGGCCGCTCTTTGGTTGAACACCAACTTTCTGGGAGCACAACTGCTTCTCAACAGTTGTCCCCCACATTGTGATTTCAGCCTTTCGAAGAGTTGTCTCTCAACTGGTGCCCAATTTGTTGTTTGGCAAACGGTTCGGTGTTTAATGGTCATGGTCAACCAATCCTTGGTGACTTTCTCTTCTTTGCTCTTCTTCGGAGTGCAGACCCATTCATGACTGCAGGAAGCTGAGGCACCTGTTCAGGGGGGTGGGGGGGGGGTGGGGACTGGCGACCATGCGGCTCATGCTTTGATGGTTTCCCTAAACAGCCCTAAAAAGGGAGGACCCCATTTGCCTACAGCTCATTCATGAGGGTGGCAAGGACTTCTTTCTGCTTGATGGAACGCGCAGCCCGTTCAATTTCAAGTTGGCTCAAGTCGGAGCGCCACCATACACCAACTCTGAACCTGAACCAGCCCCCACCAAAAAAAGCAACCTTGAATGGACGCCAACCTGGAATCCATACCCTGCCCAAACTGGACCCTAAACTCATAATCCAGAAGAATTGGCCTAAACCCAGCGACGCCACCCTAAATCCCAAGCTCATCTAAAACGGAGACGGAGTGTTGCCTCATTCTCAAAGCCTTGGTAAAATCGGCCTTTGCTTTTCCCAAGATGCCAATACAACAGTCGCCAAAAGGCCACGCAAGACAAGGAGATTACCTGTGAGGAGCCCCCTGCCTGGTCCAGCATTGGGGTGCCCCGATGGATCAAGAGTGGCGTGCATCAGCGGGCTACTGCCAGCTTCTTTGGGTCAATTTGAGGCCCCTGATGACTACCCTGCTGGCACTTGGGCTGATGGTCTCTTTCTGAATCAATGGCTACACCTCGGCCTTCTCCTACCCAATAATTTAAATCGCAAGACCTTTGCCCGAACACTGAGTTCGCTTTTAGGGGCTCCTTTGCTTCCTTGCAAAAGTCTTTGGCCGTGGTCTTGGTGTCCAGGGCTTCCGAGTGAGCCCTTGGATTCCGTGTGAGCAGACTCTTGGTGCCAGCATCTCACGTGCCTGAATTTGTGGCAGGGTCTGCACTCTTGCCTTCCTCTTCCCTCGGTGCCACCTCCTCTGTCGGTCGAGGATGCCCAGCCGTCGCAATAATCTTTGTCAGATCGTCTCGCATTGTTTTCCGTCTGCAACTGCCACAGCGCTTGGGGCCTTGTTTCCTCCGCCTCTCTGGTTATATGCTCGTCTTAGACCGGTATCTTTACCAACCATCTTTACCAACCATAGCGATGCGGGAGCAAGCAATTTGCTTTCATTTGGCACGGGGCAGGGCTGCTCTATTGAGGCCACCTTGGAATGAAATGGTCTCCGTCCAAATTTTTATCCCTGCGCAACCCGCGCTTGTCTTGGAGACTTGCGCAAAACCACACCGCAGTCACAAAGAAATATCCCACAAAGCCACAACACAAGCGCCCAACATGAACAGACAAACTGCATGACCTTCCCGCTAGCTCTATGCTGGAGGATCCAGAGTTGGCGCACCTCAACGCACCGGCGCCGCGCGCCCGGCCTGGGCCGTCTGCCTTGCTGGAGGCTTGGCGAGTGTTCGATATGTTGGTTGTGACAGACCAAATCCAGGGGTGTTGCACCAAGGTGAAAGTAGATCGCACACCTTACTCATTCACTCTCTGTCGGCAACACCAAAATGGGGAATGGCGCCTTTCACCCAATTTTGAATGGCCCCCGACCCACTCGAGGTTGTTGCCCAAGACAAAAATGGGTATTGACATATGCCTTCGATCTGGGATTTTGAGCAACGCCTGTTCGGAAACTTTGTGTCCTTTTTCGAGTCACACAGGCATTACGTCAGTCTCCGATGTGGAGACATTCCCCGTTCGCATCCTACTCCAAATGCCCCCGTTCTTTAAGCGCTGGTTTGTCAACATATTCCCGAGAAAAAGCTGGTGTAGTTGCAGCAAGGGTCGCTTTTTCCAGCCTTCTGTGGATCGAGTGGTCCATTCCTTTGCCCTGAAAACACAACAAAGTCCTGAAATGTTACTGGGTACACCCCGGATCATCGCCCCCTTTTGAAGGAAAGCAAAAGGTTAAGCTCGCAACAAAACACTGCAAAGCAGAACAGTGGTGTGTTTCCGAAATGTGCTTGAGGCTGCAGACTTGACAAACAACCATCCATGATGGTTGTTTGACACTAGTCATTTGTCATGTCGTGCTGCGTTCTTTTGTGGCCATTTGTCTTGGGGCAATTTTGACCAATGGAAGTTGGGCATGGATGCTCCATCGCAGCATGGCTGAATCTCTCGCAGTGAGCTTAGGAGCCTGGCCTAGTGATGAGTAGGTTGTAAACCACTAGTTCAACACCCTCAGTTCTCCCAAGACTATAGAAGGAACAATCACACACACACACACACTTATTGACCAACACCTCCCAACGTTTTTGCCCAAGTTGCACCCCCTGAAGTCGGATGTGTTCGGACAGCATAGGAATCCATGGACAAGGCCCTGGGGCGTCCGACTTCCTGTTCCTCCACCAGGTTCTGCTTAGAATGCGGGGTCGACATGAAAAGAAATAGTCTGGAAAACGGTTTGGACATGGCTTTTGTGGATCCACCCATGTAGGATGCTACAAGAGTATCAACATATTATTTAGAAAAAAACAACGCGGGGAATAACAGGTCCAGAAGCGCATCCGAACCGTTTTCTAGGAAGCTAGCATTGGGAACTTGGCCTACAAGTGTCAGCTCGCAGGTGGACGTTGTCGAGAAAGATCAGGTGGTCGTCCTCCCGCGTGTCTCCGCTGGCATCTCCGCTGGCAAGGCAATGGTTGCGCTTGGGTGCCAAAAACCACACGCCTTCACCCAAGGTTGGGTCAACATTTCCAGTCCATTTTTTTTGCACAGGGTTGCGGAACATGAATTTCTCAGGTTTGCCACTTTCCGTGACACCATCGGGAATCCCCTTGAAAGTGGTCAAGCAGTCATAGTAGGATGGAAAACTACCAGTTTGGCATCACAGCGTCGTTCTCCACCATCAATACCTCTAGAATGATTCTGTCTTTGCAAGGCCACCAAAAAGGAATCAATCACTTTTTGAATTTTCCTGACTTCTTTAATGGCGTGCCTGCAGGGACAAGAAGCCCGAATGGAAGTTTAGGCAATGTGTGAAGTCTTGGGGAAAAACAGAGCGCAGCAACCCCGCAAGCGGGTCGTGGGTTCAACCATTCAACCTTGTAGAAACATGGGTCGTCTATCAAAGAAAGAGTTCCGCGAATCAGACAGCGTCAGCTATCTTTTTCCGCGAATCGTCCGCTCTTCACCCGCGCTGCATCACTTTACCAAGCGACCCAATGTAACGAGCGGCCGCGCTTGCCATTTGGGAGGCATGTGCGTGCGTGCGTGCGTGCGTGGGTGCGTGCGGCGGGCGGGCGCGGCGGGCGGGCGGGCGCGCGTGCGGGCGTGCGGCACGGGCGCGGGCGCGGGCGCGCGTGCGTGTCTGCGTGTCTGCGTGTTTGCGTGTCTGCGCGTCTGCGCGTCTGCGCGTCTGTCTGCGCGTCGGCGCGTCTGCGCGTCCGTGCGTCCGCGCCGCGGCGCGTCTGCGGCGCGTCTGCGGCGCGTCTGCGGCGCGTCTGCGGCGCGTCTGCGGCTCGTCTGCGGCTCGTCTGCGGCTCGTCTGCGGCTCGTCTGCGGCTCGTCTGCGGCTCGCCTGCGGCTCCTCTGCGTCTTGTCTGCGTCTCCTCTGCGTCTCGTCTGCGGCTCGTCTGCGGCTCGTCTGCGCTCGTCTGCGGCTCGTCTGCGGCTCGTCTGCGGCTCGTCTGCGGCTCGTCTGCGGCTCGTCTGCGTCTCGTCTGCGTCTCGTCTGCGTCTCGTCTGCGGCTCGTCTGCGACTCGTCTGCGGCTCGTCTGCGGCTCGTCTGCGGCTCGTCTGCGGCTCGTCTGCGTCTCGTCTGCGACTTGTCTGCGGCTCGTCTGCGTCTCGTCTGCGGCTGGTTTGCGTCTCTGCGTCTCTGCGTCTCTGCGTCTCTGCGTCTCTGCGTCTCTGCGTCTCTGCATGTCTGCGTGTCTGCATGTCTGCGTGTCTGCGTGTCGTCGTGTCTGCGTCTCTGCGTCTCTGCGTCTGTGCGTCTCTGCGTCTCTGCGTCTCTGCGTGTTTGCGTCTCTGCGTCTCTGCGTTTCTGCGTCTCTGCGTGTCTGCGTGTCTGCGTGTCTGCGTGTCTGCGTCTCTGCGTGTCTGCGTCTCTGCGTGTCTGGGTCTCTGCGTGTCTGCGTCTTTGAGTCTCTGCGTCTCTGCGTCTCTGCGTGTCTGCGTGTCTGCGTGTCTGCGTGTCTGCGTGTGTGTTTGCGTGTCTGCGTGTCTGCGTGTCTGCGTCTCTGCGTCTCTGTGTCTCTGCGCTCTGCGTGTCTGCGTGTCTGCGTGTCTGCGTGTCTGCGTCTCTGCGTGTCTGCGTGTCTGCGTCTCTGCGTCTCTGCGTCTCTGCGTGTCTGCGTGTCTGCGTGTCTGCGTCTCTGCGTGTCTGCGTGTCTGCGTGTCTGCGTGTCTGCGTCTCTGCGTCTCTGCGTGTCTGCGTGTCTGCGTGTCTGCGTCTCTGCGTCTCTGCGTGTCTGCGTCTCTGCGTCTCCGCGTGTCGGCGTCTCTGCGTCTCTGCGTCTCTGCGTGTCTGCGTGTCTGCGTGTCTGCGTGTCTGCGTCTCTGCGTCTCTGCGTCTCTGCGTCTCTGCGTCTCTGCGCCTCTGCGTCTCTGCGTGTCTGCGGGTCTGCGGGTCTGCGTGTCTGCGTCTGGGTCTGTGTCTGTGTCTGTGTTTGTGTGTGTCTGCGCGCACAGTGCAAAGTGGGTGCACTTGAGCGGGTGTGCTTAGCATTGGCAGGCATATGCTGCAGTGCTGAGCGGGTACATTTCAGAGGTTATGCTTCGGATTTGCCAGGCGTGTGTGCAGTGTTATTAATTGCGTTCTTTCATCCGTTTGGACATTGGCTCGAACTCTGGGTTTAAACCATTGCCTGATTTAGGCAATGGTTTAAACCCAGAGTTCGAGCCAATGTCCAAACCCTTCTCCAGCAACAATACATAAGGACCATGTCCAACAGACTGGCGCATTCCGGGAGCAATGCAGCAGGCAGACACCTTTTTGGCTTTTCGAGATCCATGGCAAGTCTGCATGAATCATGCTGCACCAGCCCAAACAGGTCTTAGGAAAACCCCTTCCGCCAAACCCAAATCTGAGAACCCTTTCGTCCCATTCCCAGCCCCAAGCAAATCTTAATCAGGTGGTCGCGGGCCTGGCGTTGGCGCTGGGAATTTGTGCGCTGGGCCTGGGGCTCTCCAGCAGCTCCGCAGCTTGGCTCGCTCGCTATCGGCTTCTGACCATCCTCCTGTTTTTCAAGATGGGAGTCGGGCCCCATTTGGGTATAAGTCAGAATTAAACCACCAGGGGAGCGTCCATGTTTCCGTTTACCAGGGTTCTATTTGGGCCTATTCTTGACCCACTGCCAAAATAAAGGCCAAAAGAGGTCCAACCGCTTGTCTGGGGAACATTTTGAGACGCTTCTTGTGAGTAGAAGTTCTCCGAAGTGGGTGGCTCGTCAATAGGAAGCGTTCGCTGGGTGCCTCAAGTGGTTGCGCTTAGGGGGGGTCTCATCATTTTTCCGGGTACTCAGGGTTCAACATCCCTTTTTGCAAGTCCTTGGTCTCACAATGGAAATCAGGCACCCGACTGCAGTTGCCCCCGTTATCACCACGTTGTAAGCTACTGGCGTGGGTTGAACATCCAAGTATCCTCTGTCCAACATTCATCGAGGTGGACGCCTTGGTTCTTTTCTAGATAGAGGGTAGCCTTACAAAGTCCTTGGGTTCGAGGGCACTCCTTTGGATGAACGAAAGGAATGGCTTGACCCACCGACCTCAACGAAGTACATGGTTTTCTGGTTGCCGCTGTGTACGTTGGTCCGTTTCAAAGAGGCTGGGAACCCAAAGGAAACCTACGTACCTAATTTTGAAACACTGCGAGGCTCGGTACCTTGTTTCGGTTTTGAAAAAACCCAAAGGAACCCACCATTTGTAGGGTCCCCCTCCACCCATGGCCTGGACCCGCTGGTTTTTGAAACCCCCCGAAGCTTTCAGACTCGAAACCGGCCTGCGGCTTCCCAGGCGGTTTCGTCCGCGCTGGCCGACACGGTGGGTTTGTCCTCGAACACGAAGGAGAACAGCACCGCGAACAGCACGAAGGATCGGTCAGCCGAAGAATCGAACAGAACCCTTTTTAAGATTTCAATGGGTTAAACAGATCCCTTTTAAGACATGTCCAAGGGGTTTTGGTCAAAAGAAGGAATGAACAGAACCCTTTTAACACATGTTAATGGGTTTTCGAACAGAACCCTTTCAAGAAATGTCAAACGGGTGTTGGGCTTTCGGTGTCGGCTCGCTCAAGATCCGTGTCGTTTTTTCTTCTTTCTTTTTTTCTCCAAGGAAACACAGCAAGTTTGTTGAGTTCATACCCCTTTTTGGTTGCCTTAAAAAAAAGGCACCTAAAGGCAACCGATGCAATATTTGCGGTTCCCCTCATGTCCGTTTTGGTGGTTCGGCTGGTGTTTTGGAGTTTGTACCCCCTTTTTTTAAGATGGTTCAAAAGGGAACAACAAGAGAGACCTTGAAACATTTTGCTTTATGGACACACCTCAATACAGGGTCCATTCAAGTTAGTACTGCCGGGCTGGGTTCTCAAAATTATATCGGTGTATCTCCAAAAAAACATTGTGTACAGGGTAGTTTGGAGGATGTCAGTCTCCAATAACCCAGAAATACCACCCAGACCTCCAATAGTGCATATCCCTGTTTTCCCCCCACTTTTTTGAGGGGTAACGCCTGGCCCAAGATGCAAAGCTATGCCCGACCCGAGCCGCCAAGCGCATCGGAGTCCTGACCGATGGAGGGAATGCACATTGTTTGCGGTCCAAGATTACGGATCGTCCCAAAGAGTTGGCCCGAAAGCATAACATCGCAAGCGAGGTCGGCCCAATGCTGCAGGATGCGTTCTTTTTCCCTACACGAAGCATTCGTGAAGCAAGCGCGAGACAGCACCAGGCAAGGTGCTCTGCGCAAACTGGTCGGTGCAAGTTGGTCTGCGCAAGTTGCTCTACGCAAGTTGCACTGTGCAAGTTGCTCGGCGCAAGTTGCTCCGCGCAAGTTGCTCCGTGCAAGCAAGTGGCTCCCTGCAAGTTGCTCTGTGCAACTTGCTCCGTGCAAGTTGCTCCCTGCAAGTTGCTCTGTGCAAGCTGCTCTGTGCAAGTTGCTCTGTGCAAGTTGCTCTGCGTAAGTTGCTCTGCGCAAGTTGCTCTAGGCAAGGCGCTCGGCGCAAACTGGTCGGTGCAAGTTGGTATGCGCAAGTTGCTCTGTGCAACTTGCTCTGCGCAAGTTGCTCTGCGCAAGTTGCTTTATGCAAGTTGCATCTTGCGACGCCCGCCCGCGGACCAGGGAGGAATCGAACCCGCGACCCGCCGGTCCCGGGAGAAGGCCCGCGAACCGAGACAACTCCCGAGGACCAGTTCGAACAACAAAAGTCGCAAAAACCCTTGAGTTTTTGCACCTCGACCACGCCGATCCCCGCAGAGGGTCGCGCGGGAACTTTAGAAATCGCAAAAAACCTCGAGTTTTTGTACCTCGACCAGGCGCGATCCCCGCAGAGGGTCGCGCGAGCATGTTAAAACTCGCAAAAAACCTTGAGTTTTTGCACCTCGACCACGCCGATCCCCGCAGAGGGTCAATTTTCGTGTAGTGTCGTCGGCACTACCCCGCCGCCCTAAGAAGAGGTTTTAACTCCTCGCAAGTCAGTTGCACTTGACTCCTTGCACTTGCAACTTGCGCTTGACTCCTTGCACTTGCAACTTGCACTTGACTCCATGCACTTGCAACTTGCACTTGACTCCTTGCACTTGCAACTTGCACTTGACTCCATGCACTTGCAACTTGCACTTGACTCCATGCACTTGGCTCCTTGCACTTGGCTCCTTGCACTTGGCTCCTTGCACTTGCAACTTGCACTTAACTCCGTGCACTTGCAACTTGCACTTGACTCCATGCTCCTTGGCTCCTTGCAACTTGCAATGACTCTCATGACTCCTTGCAATGACTCCTTGCAATGACTCCTTGCAATGACTCCTTGCAATGACTCCTTGCAATGACTCCTTGCATGATGACTCCTTGCAATGACTCCTTGCAATGACTCCTTGCAATGACTCCTTGCAATGACTCCTTGCAATGACTCCTTGCAATGACTCCTTGCAATGACTCCTTGCAATGACTCCTTGCAATGACTCCTTGCAATGACTCCTTGCAATGACTCCTTGCAATGACTCCTTGCAATGACTCCTTGCAATGACTCCTTGCAATGACTCCTTGCAATGACTCCTTGCAATGACTCCTTGCAATGACTTTCATGATGATGATTCCTTGCAATGACTCCTTGCAATGACTCCCCGCAATGACTTTCATGATGATGATTCCTTGCAATGACACCTTGTAATGACCCTCATGAGAACAACTCAAGTGAACCCAGCGGAAGAACCCTTCGCCATGCTTTCGGGAACAAGCAAATAAAGAGGCACATGTCGCCAAATTTTCAGTGTCCGAAACGAACGGACCTTTGGCGCCAACATGGCTCTCAGGCTCTCAGCATCTTTTGGGGTGTCCCAAATTCTTTGGTACTTTTTGGGTAGGGTTAAAACAACCCCCCATTTCAATGACTTACAGGACTAATTTGCCGACTTTCCGAGCCCCGTGGTTCCGTCGAGACTAGCATTTTGGTTCCTCTCTTCGAGGTATGCCGAGCTTGTTTCAAGTGACGAACGGACAACCCGCCTAAAGGGTGAACTCTTTTCTGGGGAGTAACTGAGTCAAAGGGTTTGTCACCTCAGCACAAAGTCACAAACAAAGGGTCTGTTTCAGCGGGGATTTCTATCCAGCTGGCCCGCCTCATTTGGGACTGGAGAGGTTCATCTTGGCTCAACCCTGCTTGTGTTTTGCCGTGTTTTTCTGAATATCAATGCCTCTTGGATGCTGCTCCCAGATCCGACTCCGCAATCCTGCAAAGGGATCTGCGCCTTCGGGTTTTGGAGGAAGCTTCCCTGCAGGCGAACGCGACAAGCAACGCGACGGCAAACTCCACGGCGGCGAACACCACGGCGAATGCGACAGCGAAGGCGGCAGCGAAGAAGGCGGTGAAGAAGGAGGTGAAGACAGAGTCGGCGAACACAACCACCAAGGCGCCTGTGCAGTGTGTTACAAAAGCCAAGTTCCGTCCAGGCAAATGATAAAGCTTCCTTTTTGTGGCAGGCTACTAATATGGCCATGGGTCAAAATCCCGCACCAAAAATAGACTAAAATGGGTGGAGCACCTGCCCCAAAATGGTACCATTGGTTTTGACCCACAGCAATATAAAAAGATGACACATATGCGAATTCGAGGATAAGTTATGGACATCTTCCATGATTACCAAATGACAGAAGTAAATAATGATAATAATAACAATAATAATAACAATAACGCTGCCAGCTTTCAAACCAGCAGTTCTGGCATAATTTCCTGTATAACTGTCTGTCTGTTGCAACACTTCGGTGATCAATGTTGTAGGATAAAGCGCGATTTTTCAACTGGCAACACTTGCCTTGTGGGTTCACTTGAACGAAAAATGCTCGGCAAAACAGGAAAACCCCGGGATGTTGATGAGGAACTCCCCCCTTTTCAAATTGCTACTTGGGGCGCGTGTCCCAATCATCATCCCTTTACAGTACCTGGAACTTTTTATGTTCAAGTTTCCCAAAAGCAACGAATCGCATCCGGCGCAGGCACCTCCGGCTCCGGCGCCGCCCTCGTGCCGCACGGCGCAGGTTGGGGAGCCATGCTACCAAGCGGCCTCTCGGCTTTTCAATCGAAGATTTGGGGGAGAGGTGCCTCCCAAACAGCGGTATGGCTTTTGAACATCCCTCTCGCATCCGTTTGGTTTTGGGTGAATGGCTGGGGGTCAATGAGGCGCCAAACATGGACTCACCCCGTCAGCAGGATTGGGCGGGTTCCGTTTTGCTTTCCGCGACAGTCCCAAAGGAATCAACTATCAAAAGTCTTGGTGGGTTTCAGCCATCTTCGAAGGCCGCTTCTTATTTTTGTTCGGGGGTCTGTGTAGTAAGTGGACGATTAAACCACGGGAAGATAGTGGCCATCTGCTTTAACCCAACATGAAAAGCTCAGGTGTGATTACTTGGCTCGAGTGTGAGGTGATGTGGCACAAGTGGATCGGCTTGGTGGAGAACCCGACCTGGTACCAGACCATCTCCAGGACTGCCAAAGACCATGTCGGTTTCGGATTCCCGGGCTGTGAACGGAAAAGGGCCCATTCTCCGAACAATGGCTAAGGAAGCTGAAGAGTCTGGGGAAACGAAACGAAACTGGCGATCATTTCTGCTCATGGCCAAATGGCCGGGTGCAGAGGCCGCTTTTGGACCTGTGCACCCAGCTGTGGCATCCCTGGCTGATAAGGTCGCCTTAGGGTTTCCCCAATTTCGCCGAACGTGCATTTCATTTCCTCACAAAATGGCCAACAGCCGAATTTGGGCCTTTCTTGGTTGCATAAAATTTCAAGCAGCCTACTTCATATCTCAAGGGGCCAACAAAAGCATTCTAAAAGCGGATTTGACCTTTAAATCTACTTGGATGACTGCTTCCCACCAACCCTTGGATGAATTTGTGTGGGTCATTTTTTCACCAACTGAGCTTCCTCAGGCAGGGGCAGGCCTTTTCAGAAGCTGCCCAGGGGTCTCGAGACTTGGCAGGCCGAACCCTTGGGGTACCCGACTGTAAGAATGACATTTCTTTGTTTAGCACCCGCTGATAGAGGGATGCATAGTGTCATGAACAAATGGCCAAGGGGCCATGTTTGTAACCAAATTGATTGCGAGGTTTTGTTTGGTCGTTGCTGGTCCACATGCTGTGACTCGGGCCAGTTAGGGTTGGACAGATCTGTTTCACCAAGCAGACCCTGGTCCCCCTCAAATGCGTCATTCTTAGTGTATGCGATATTGCTTAAAGCACGTTTAAACAAAGGCGTGACTCGCCCAACCCTGCAGGCAGTCCAACCGCCACCAAATCCAGCAGTGGCTCTTCGAGAGCAAGCGCCACGGACGCAATTGGATTGGACGCCAGAAGCGAAAGGGGCCTGACCTGACCGAAGCACCCTAGTGACAAGCAGGTCTCCTGCTTGCCTCACGGGGGCTTAACATCCGAGTCTTGAAGATGATTTCCAGCCCCAAACTAGCGCAGGGGAAAGAGGGAACGCGCCACCCTTTAGGGGCTGGATAGTGGCTGTACATCCCACCCTCGCGGGTAGAGTCTTCCAAAGGGGGCTTGTGCGCTTCCTGGGAGGATACTCATCAAGCGTGCGCGGTTGAACTTGCGCACGGTCATGGGCATCCGGTTTGTTTGCATAGGCATAGGCAGGCCCCATGGTTGATCCGTAGCGGGATGTCCAATTTTACATGAGGCGCTGCATTTTTACGGGGATTTGCCAGAATCATGAATATAGGATCAACATTGAACATTTGGGCAAGTGAACGTTGGTACAGGACCCGCGAAAGCTGTGTGTCACAACTTGTTTCCCGCACAAGGTGCCAGGGGAACCCGAGTCTGGGCTTCGGACGTTTTGAACACGTGGGTTGCTGTATCATCCAATAGAAACACTGCTGATTTGACGAAAGAACATTTTACACAGGTGTTTGGTTCCCCGGTAGTGGAGTCAAATCACAGTAGAACTTGGATCACGCGCGCGCGCTCTCATTGTATGCAGGATTGCCCCAATTATGGTTCATAGTTACAGCAAGGATTCCTGCCCCCAGAGAACCATGAAACTCATGCACAATTTGGCAGATTTTACCGCCGTTTTCAAACCACGTGCATGTTTGAGTTGTGGGGCTCGGCCAGGTGTGTGATGAGCCATCAGTTGCGCTTCGACAACACTTTCGAGGGAATGATTGTTTCCAACCACCAAGCAGCAGAAACACCTTTTTTGCATGGTCAGTTGGAGCAACCCAGGTTTGGCAGGACCGAGCTCATCTGTGACTTGTTGAACGTATTGAACACATCCTGGCGGCAAACCTGTCTTGAACGCACTGCATATTGTGAACATATTTCAGCTCAACCAACCAGCACAAAGAAACGAAAGAGGAATGGGTCGGCACCACTGGATCAACCCGAGGCAAGGAAGCTGCCAGCGGCCCTGCGACGCCGCTTGACACTTTTGTCTTTTCGGCGGTTTGACAGGATCCCTCAACGTATACCTCAGTTAAAGCATTACCTTTACCAGCTGATGTAGAGATCCCCCTCAGCAAGTTAAGATGTACCCAAGGATCGGCTTGCGATGTACCCAAGGATCGGCTTGCGGTGATTTCGTTTCCAACCTTCCAGTTGGTAGTGTTGTTGCGACCGATTTCGGGTCGTTTATGCCCGAGATGCTTGTGATGTGGTAGGTGCTGAGTAGGAGCCGAACTTGTGGAAGATCATCGGCACTAGGGTGGGATCGACCTGGTGTGGGCTTCATGTCGATTTATGTGGCCGATGCGCTGCTGGCTGCGAAGAAGGAGGTGATCATCGCCATTAAGCGCGTCGAGGTGGAGCGGCTGTTGGCCGATTCGGAGTGGCCGGTGGAGGAAGAGCCGCTGCGACTCTGTGGTTTTGAGGGTGCACCAGGACGGCTTCAACTTGAACCAGAGCACTCACGCCAAGGAGTTGGTGGAGAAGTGGGGTGTTGCCCGATCCTGGAGCTTCGTGACGCGCAGGCCCTTGTGGGTGGGCTGGTATGGCTGGCCATAAAGACCAGCATGAAGTTTCCCAAGCAGGTGGTCGACATCGGCACGGGCCCGGCACGTTCCGCGTCATGTGGGGGCGCAAGCGGTGCAGCCATGTTTGTGGAGCGACTGGGTGACGGCTGGGAGCGTCGCGCCTTGACTCCACTTGCCAACTTGCCTTCAATTCCCCAGCTGACTACCATTCCGCCTCTCTCTAACTTCGGTGCCCCCAGGCGCCGCCCCCCATCGCTACGTTCTTCGTCCTCCGTTCTTCCACTCACGGGAACGCGGCGGATGGCGGTCTTGATGGCCTGCCTCGTCGGTCGGACATGCCACGGGAACGAAGCAAGGATCTATGGCCATTCGCCAAGAAGTCTGACCACTGATTCTCGTTGCGCGGTGGCGGTGTGTGTAGTGCATGGTCGCAGTGCTGTCCGGTCGTCCGCCCTGATTTGCGGCAGGGGGCAGCGATCATCAATTCAATCAACCACCGGACAACGAAGCTATGCTTGATGGTGGAAGCGCAGGCTGGTCGCCTGCACGCCTGCAATTCAATTTGACGTCCGGCAATTTAACTTGTGAACGGCACTCTCTCTCAAACTTAAGTGCCCGACTGCGCAGCTCTGACTTTTCATGTCTGGGTGAGTGTGTGATAGAGTGATTGTGTGATTGTGTGGGTGAGTGAGTTTGTTTCTCGAGTAGCCCTTGGTTGAAAGAAAGCCCGAAAGGTTTTCGCAACCATGATACTATCCCAAGGCCCTCCGGACTGACATGGAACCTGAATGGAGGTCCTGGGAAGACAATTTCCTCAGCCTTCTGGCTGGTTTCATGTTAGTGGGCAAACCCAGGTGTAGTAGCTGCCTCTCCAAGCAGGGTGGACCCGTTCGCCCATCTTTGGCAACAAAGCGCGGGAAAGGGGTTCCAGAATAGACTGTTCGGTTCATGCTCTATTATGAAGTTTGGGCCCCTCAGCTCGACCCGCTCAAAGGGGTCAGCTGGTATTTGGCAGTATTTTCGCTTTGGGGTGGTTGGCCATACGAACCACCAAGGTCAACTTTTTATCTCCCCAAGTTGGTTATAGAGGGACCTGGTCATGACTGGCACCCTCCCACAATTGAAAAATGGAAGTGGATCCTTCTCCGAAAGGAAACTATTCTTTCCAGGGGTTTGTCCGCTTGCATGTTGCTTGTTCTTTTTTCACAGAACATGCACGGGTGCCCAGTACCCGAAACCGCATCATGTGCAAGCCGGACACCACGTTGTGGAAAACCATGTGAGTGGCAGTTTGTCAAAGTAAATCTGCTCCACAGCTCGATCATTCTGGTTGGGACTCCGTTTTTTAGCCTGAGATTGTTTTTTTTGGCCGCCCCTTTTCCCCAAAAGTTTTCGCGGTGCAGACGGCAACGGGCCGAGAGCGCGCCGAGAGCGCAGCTCAGGGCGCCTACCCGGTGCCGCAAGTGCCCGCTGGCCAGCACCCGCGACTCTATTGCTTCTCTGTGGCGCGGCTGGGTTCTGAGATGGCCCCTCGGCGATGCTTTGTTTTTTCCTGGTAGGTTGGGTTCGGAGGAGGTGTTTTTCTTTTCACGTTTGTTTGTTGATCTGGAATGGGGACTAAGGGGCCAGGGTTCATATTGCCTAGTTGGCGCGTGGTAAGCGAGCTCACCATGATGTCGGCCCTTGCCTTCCCAATCGAACATGAACATCATGAGGAGGGCACTGGTTTTTCAATACACGTTGGTTTCTCTTAGTTGCTCTTTTAGTTTACACAACCTTTTTGGAAATGCGATGGCTTCCACTATTTAATAGGGGTGCTCCGGACCTCAACAGAATGACCAAGCCACACGGGTAGGAAAAACATGTTTTGGATTTTGCGCAGTGCATGGGGTCCTATCCGTGAGATGGCAAGGCCCAAGGCCTTGCTTCGGGGGGAGGGGAGGGGGCGGTTTGGAGCAATATTGCCCATTTGAGCTCATGTTTGATGATGTTTCCCTTGAAAGAGCCCTGTCACAAAGAAGCCGAAAGGAAAGGGAGGCTGGGCTCCCATCACATTGAAAGCGATCACATTGAAAGCCCAGCATTCTTGCCATGCTAGCTGGTAAGAGGGAATCCACCATGTCCTGTCGTTTTTTCGATTTGACGCACACATACCCATTGTGGCCAAATGTACCAGCTGACCCAGGCAACAAACGTCCCACCTTTTCCGCCTGATACTGAGCAACAGTTCTTGCCTTTGCCGGGCGGGAAACAAAACACATCTCGCGTTCTTGATTCAGTCGGGTGGCAAACGATTGTCAGTTTACCTTTTGTCTTGGCAATAAGCAACACATATTGCCTTTGTCAGATCAGAAACAACGGACGTCTTTTGTTTGCGAGCAGTAATCCACAAACTTAAGAAGCATATGCTATGCTGCTTTTTTCCTGTATGGCAAGCAACAACCGCCTTGCCTTTTTTGGGTGATGACCAACACGCGTATTGCGCTAGTTTTTCCGTGTTGCAAACAACGAACTCAGCAACACATCTGACTAGTTTTGTTTTTGTGGTAAACCGCAAGCATCTCACGCTTGTTTTTCAGCTTGTACACAGCACATCAACAACTCATCTTTGTCTTGGGGTGGCAAGTAACAAATGCCCTCTTCTTTTTCGGCTGGAAAACCACACGCAGTCTTTTTGTTCGGGTGGAATACAGCCAGAGCCGCAACACACCTCGACTTTGTTCGAGTGGTAAGCAGCCAATGTCCTGCTTTTTTGGGGTGGTAAACACGTAAACGCCACACACACACACACGCACACACACGCACACCTTTCGTTTTTGTCTACGGGTTGTACACAGCAAATCATCTGTCCTTTTGTCCAAGAGACTATTCTGCTTTTTTTGGGTCGATCCACTCACGCAGACGCCCATGCCCCCCCAATGCAGACCCTGGATCCTCCAATGGAGAACGCTCGCCTTTGAGGACCCTTGCAGCCCTTTTGAGGCCATCAAACAGATCGTCAGGGCCAGTGAGATAACCCAGCTCGGGGGCTGTCACTTGGACATTTTGCGCTTTGAGTCAACCCACTTGCCCGACGGTTTGTTTCCCATTTCCAAAGTCAGCTTACTGACTTTGACCCCAAGACAAACATGGGCCCCAGATCTCTCAGGACACCATGTTCATGCAGCGCCAAGCCGGCGCTGGCATCTTCGGGTGCGACGGGCCCCCGCCTCGGCTGGGTTCCACAACCAACAGGGTTCCAAATGGGAAAGAAGTGTCCACGGATCGATCCTCCTTGTAAGTGCTGATTTTCCCACATCCCTAAATTGTAAGTCGCAAGGTGAACGGAACTAGGAATGAAACATCTGAGTATTTTGACAAAATGAGCGGGAACTGGAAACACCTCTGCGCGGTGACTTCCATTAATTTTGCAGTTGAACCGACTGCATGCAACCACCAAAACCTGGCAGACTATATACAACTAGATTACAACCTTTGCAAATGAACATGGAACGCAAAAACGGGTCACCAAATGACGGGTTGAAGGTACAGGTAAACGTTGCTTGCCACGATAGTGCCCAGCATGTCACTTGAGGTTAGCTCAGAATGTGCCATGACAATCTTTGTCTTGGTCTTCTGGTCATTGCGGGTGAGAGCCAGCAAAGCTCTCTCATACACTCGGACCTACACAGTTGGGTAAACATAGATGGCACAACTCCCATATTTGGGTTTAATCATCCCTCTTTACTTGCCCACAAAGACGGAATTGTGCCTGCCATCTACCTTTTCCCCGGTGTATGTTTCAGGAAGGAATCCTGTTTAACACTATATTCTTGATTCTTCCTATTGTCCCATACCTGTTGACCATAGTTGAAGATGTTTATCCCTATTGTCCTGAAGGATTGCTATTTAGCGCGGCGACGCTTTGGGCTCCATCGGTAGGTGGTACTGGTCAGCCAAATCTCCCAGGTTGGGCCTTGAAAGAAACATAGCCCGGGCCTCCAGCAACTTTTGCCAATCGACTTCTCCGACTTGAAATGACCAGGCTCAACCCTGGCGATGCAAGCCTGGAGCTTCCAAACTAGCAATCCTTTTTGAAGGCCCTAGAGTGGCCATTCTCGGCGTCGGAGCCTTGGCAGGGTCCCAATCCGTCAATGGTCATCCTTGATCCCCCCCAAAACAAAACAAAAGCAGAGAAGCAAAACCAACAAACATCGCGAGGCTGCATCGCTTTTCTTCACGCATCAACAACAAAACAGATTCCAGCCTTTTGTTCCTTGCCAATCAATAAGGGCTTTTGGTGGGCTGGTGGCTGGTGGATCCCTTTTTCGCCTTTCCGAGGTTCGACGTGTTCAGCGACCAGCATGTGGACATCGATGGATACCAGCCGCTTCATCCTCGCGTACCGGGTTTTCCGGGGTGGGAAGTGCGTTTCTTCCTAGAAATATCCTTGGCCCCTTTTTAAGGATCCTCCCATTTTCGTTGGTTTTAAAGAGAAGCCAAAGGGAAAACCATCACTAAAACAAGACACTCGGTTCTCCTTCATGTGCTCTTCAATTCAGGGGAGCAACCTTACCCGATGTTAAGACCCTCAACTTAAACAACTTTTGGACAGACTTCCTGTTCCCCTTGTCAGGGCTTCTGCCTGGGCCCTGATTGGCTGAAGCGATGCTTTCTTTTGTGCTTCGGATTCGTGCCCTTCTGCCGCGGGCCTCGATTCAACGGAGAGACATCAGGGCGAGCAGAGCGCGAATTGTTTGAGGATCTTCCACGGGGAAGTCCGATTGAAAGCCGAGCGGGTTTGCAGCACCTTTGGGAACGGGAAAGTGAGATCCTATGGTTCATAGGGATGCTTCAGGCTGCCCCATGTGCCCGTGAATTTAACTCCGGCACCCCGAAAGTGGTGGACACGAGTCCCCGAATTTTGTCCAAGTCATTGAAGATTGCCCATATTTTCCCCGGAGCAACGTCGGAATTCGAGGGATCGTTGCAGATCCGTTGCACGTTGCATGCTGTTTTAAACTGCGATTTTACGGCCTTAGGAATGCAAAAGCCAGTTTGATGTTGCAGTTCGAACCAACTCCGTCCAACTCATTCCCTATTGACTGGGGTCAGTATTTTGGCAGTTTCTGGGGGCTGCCTGGCTGCTTCCCTTTAACCCGGCGCACGGGGGTGCTTTCGCTGGTTTTTCGCATGGGACGATCGCAGCGATCGGATCGAGCCGGCTGAGGACGAAGTTGATCCCCTCCACCGCCAGCGGGGTGTCGGTGGATAGAACCGCCGCCAACTCCCAGGTCTTCATGAAGACCGCCGGGGGAAATGGAGTTTATTGGGGGGTTCAACGGGCTGGGATCAGAAAGCGGCCTTTCCACGCGGCATGCGAGTGATCATTTTGTGGACTTTTCGACCGGATCTTCCCACCCGAATCAAGAAGAAGGACATACGGACGCATGTCCGTTGCCGGTCCCTTGAAGTCTCAATCATTTGTTGCTTTATTTACATTGGTCTACCCAAGTGTCAACCCAAATGCTGTGTTGGTTGATGGACACCGTGGCCGCATGTGTTGACAGCCACAATTGCAACAGATGCAGGCGACAGTTCCGCTGACACAGGCGACGCAACAGCCCGAGACTTCCGTGCAAACACCGTAGGCTTGGTAGCGACCCGAAAGAGATCCGTTCAGCAACATGTGTTCTGCAGTTGGACCTATTGAGCCCCACCGATGCGTTTGCATTTTGTTCAACGAGAACGACGCACTTTCTCAATTTCTTGCTTACTGATCCTCTCTTGTTGATCTGCAGTAAATCTTCGCCTCGTCCTCGCTCGTGCTTGCGGGTTGTGTTTCTCATTTCGAGAGGGCAACCACATCACGCGTAAATTCTCGGGTCTCGACTCCATTTGACACATCCGAGCATCTGACTTTTGGCGTTGGGCCGAGCCACGAGCCGGCGCCATCCAACTGTCGCAGGACGTGGCTGAAGATCTTGAACGGGGACCAGTGGTGGCGGTTCGACTTCATCGCGAAGGCCACCGGGCACCGGGCCGACAAATGTGCGACAAATAGCTTCCACTTGCTCAAGATGTGTATTGTTCCATTTATGTCCCTTGTTGTTTTTGTCAAGGGAATCTATCACTCCTGTTTTCTGGTTTTTCTTTTTTTCTTCTCTTTTTTCCGGGGATTTACAAACAAATGGAAGTTTGCCATCTGGCTTCCACCTTTTGAAGGGTTCACCTAAGACTTGGCAAGGGGAAATTGCTGCCATGGACCTCACCGGAGCCGGTTCCTTCGGGGGAGCACCGCTCGATGCAAAGGCTGGGGTGCCAACGGCTTTGAAACGGGAGCACCCTCACTGGGCAACCCTCTGTCAATCCGAGGACTCCCACTTGACAGTCGGAGCCCTGAGAACCCAAGACTTTCTAGGTATCTTCCTCCTTTTCTCGCTGACACCCTGCAAAGAGAGCATGACGAAAGGAGGCTGGAACGACTTCCTTAACATGCTCACTTCGGAGGGAAAGAGGGGAGCCCGAAGGCCATCGAGGGACGAAACGGCTCGGAGCATTTGGAAGGGCCACTTTGGGGCCCTGGGTGGCTGATTTCCCACTCAAGTCATTCGTGGTGAAGTAGGCTATACACTAGGTAGATGTTTGTATCAGTCTTTGGTTCAACTTCCTTCAAGCAACAATTGTAGCTTTTTGGCTCCTAGTCTTATTTAATTTGTGCGGCCTTACAGGGAGTGTTTAGGAGCCGAAAATGGTCGACCCATCTTGTCAACCTTCCAATTTGGACATGTTCCCATATATGTATGCATATGTACATGTATATGTACATGTATATGCATATGTGTACATGTATATGGACATGTATATGCATATGTGTATGTGTATGTGTATGTGTATGCGTACGATACATATATAAGCCTACCAGCCTTCAGCATCTCCCAAACACAACTTGAGTTTGGGTGTGTTCAGGAGGTTTGATATAAGCACGTGTGTGTGTGTGTGTGTGAGCGCGCGCACGAGTGTGTTCATACTCTTCATACCTCGACTTGCAAGGGCCAGAAAGAAGCTCGGAAGGTTTAGCTGCGGAGATCCCTTTCTATTTTGTTTTGCATCCATTTAGATTCCTTTTGGCTATTATTGCTTAAAAAAGCTCCTTTTTGATTCTTTGCCATAGGTCTGACCAACACGTTTGTTTATTGTGACTCGCTTCGGCCAGCAACCTAGCCATGTTCAAGCCGCAAAGGCCGTAGAGGGGTTACCTGAAAACTGGAAAGGCTTGTACATTGGAGTCTCACACGTGCAGAAGCCTGGTTTACGTATGTTCGTGCAATCACACCTGACTCGCTCCGCGCATGACCGATGGTTGATGCTTACGGCTCTATCAAGTTCCCTTAGTCCGAAGCTCGGTTGACGTGTCCGTCCCTCTTCATTTCCCTTCAAACCATCAAGCACGGCTGGGTCTCTGGAACCTCGAGGGTGGGGCTGTGGAAAAATGGCAGCGAGAGCAAGGTGGCAGAGAATCAAGTCCCAGCAAAATAGTCTGGACCTTGGACGTTCAACCCAGCGGACGAACCCTGAGTCCATATTTTTCCACACGAGCTCGCAAAGCGCAGCTGGGGATAGGCGGAATGGCTGGTTCTTGGCTCCCTCAAGCTTCAGGAGGAACCGTGAGCCTTTCTCTCAATTGGGTACACTCTTTTGATAGGGGAGATTGGGAATCCGCAATGAACCATACTCACGCGCAACATGTGCCATGTCAAACCTCCCCAAATGTGGGATCACAGTCATAGCTTTGCAAAAGGAAGCCTCATGCTTGCCTGAAAGAGAACGCCCAAGCCGCCTTCTGACCATGGGTATGGCATGGCCCAATCCATGGAGCCCCAAATCGACGGCCAGCGCGGGTTTCTGGCGGCTCGCAGAGCGCCTCTCGTAGGTGGACCCGGACGCGGTGCTCTTCGCGGACCGCCTCAGGGGGCACCTGTCCTGGCACACCGGGCAGCCCGGAGACCCAGACGCCGAGACTCCGAGACTCCGAGACTTCGAAACGTCGGTCGACAGGCCGGTTTTGACACCACATTAAATCGGCCCGGGAAACCTGGGAGAAACCAAAGGGCTCGGGAGGCGGTTTTCTTTGTTCGCAATTGGAAAGGCAGACACTGAGTGCTCAGAGCCCGGCTTCCAAGCGAGAAAGGAGAGGGGGAGGCAAGAAACACAGGTATCCTTTGGATCAGTCACCGGGTCTTTCCCATCTTCTGCCCCTGAAGTTGGACATTCGAATGTTGACCCCGAATCAAACCTCCTAATAGAGAAATGGGGGGGGTGCACCTCCCCCACAGTGATCCAGATCCCCTCAAGGGGTTTCTACCCATGAACCAGGAATTGATTTTTATGCGGGGTTGACCGTTTTGGCGGCTGACCACAAAGCACAAAGGGGGACATTGCCTGCTGCTGGCACTTCCATGACCCGAAAGGTGGCCTCGCTTCAGCAAACCTGTGGTTCCATGTGGTTGGCTCCCCCGACCACGGGCGGAGCGTTGCAACTGGGCCCATACAATTCACAGCTCCCTTGGTCGAATCCGCTTGCCCCATCCTTTGCCACCAGACCCAAATGGCTCGGGGGTTTCAAGGGAGAAGACCCCGGGTTTTGTCGGGAGACACCCCGAATTCCCGCAGATTCTTCGCAACCCTTGGATTGAAGACCCGCAATATTTTTTGAGCTTTCTCGGTTGAGGTAAGAAGGGCCTGCGTAGGACAATGCAAGTAAATCCCCTGAACAAAGCGGCAAACATGGCACCTTGAGTAGGAAAATCAAGGCAACGCCCGAGCCACCCCTCTTCCCCGCAACATGATTTCATGGCTCTTGCACTTGAGCCTACCCCCCAACAGCTCAAAGTAATAGGTGGAATGGGAATCCCACCTTGGCATCATGACCATGATTTCCAGGGGTTCCACAATCTCGGATAGTTCCAACCAGGTTCGCGGTTGCCCTTTTCATTCTTTCCATTTGGATCCCAGGTTTGGATTCTGGCCTGCTTATCCTTGGTGCATGTTGCTTGGATGTTAGGACTTTGTAACGGTTTGCCAACGAATGGGTTTTCCATTAAACCACTAAAAGTGAAACTTTCAGCAGGGGAGCATAATCCTCGAAGGGGGGGGGCAGGTAAAGCGCGCAGTGCGCCCAGGAACGTCTTCTTCCTGAACTGCGCCAAGTACATCCCCGCCACCATGTACGGGGCGCTGGAGGTGCGAGCCCCGTGCGGAAAAGCCATGGCCGGGGCTTGGGCGGAGGTTCTAAAAAAAGGCTGGTGCCAGAGGGAATGAGGGAATAAACCCAGGTGTTTGCACAAAAGGAAGCCACAAGGGATGGTTCAGAAGGATCATTCCATTTCTCCTTCCCTGCACCAGCAAGCTAAGCTTCTTGAGAGAAAAGGTTCAAAAGGTGGCCTTGGTTCAAGGTCGGCGAGTTTTGTGCATGTTTGCCCCTGTGTTGATTTTGATCACTCGGTGGGAAGTAGAGACGAGCCGTGAGTTGTTGCTTAATATTTGCTTTCGCTGTTCTCATTATGTTTCTTTGATTGTTTGCCTCTTTGGTTCTGTTCTTCTTGATTGGTTGTTTGCTGCACAGAAGAAACTATTTCAATCTGGTTTGTTGCTAACATGCCAGCAGCGGAAGGGGCAGGTGTCTTTTCAGGGGTCCTGTCGTGTTTGTTGGGGGGAGGATCAGACATGTCAGCTTCATGTTGCCATATGCTTGGGCTTTGCTTGAATGTTGCTTGCTACGGGAATGCGTGAAGAAGCAGTTGATTGCCATGACGTATACCAGAGGATGGAAAGGCCAATCATTTGACGGTTTCTTGGGCTCAAAGCCCGTTCTTTTGATGTTTTTTGGGTCCAAGAAATTCAGCCACAGGAATTTCTACAAGAACGGGGAAATGGCTGGCAATTGACACGAACGGTGGAAATCATTTGGGCCGGGAATGAATCAGGGTTGGGCGATTCAACCCCTTGTTTACACATGTCTAAACCACTGTTTACGCAACGTATGTTTGGTTTCTTTTAGGGAACCAGTGGCAGGAATTCGCTGCTTTTTGGTATTTGGAAATCCGATTTGTAGAAATTCAAGTGGGTTCCGCTAGTTTTTATGACCGAAACTGGAAACCGCCCAACAGGCAGGTAACCATTGATCGTTGATTCGAACGGCTTGTTTGGGGATAAAAGCCCCTTGTAGAGGGTAAATGGGACTCCACCAACCCAAACGTCCCTAGAAGGAAGCCGACCGTAGGACGCCGTAGGTGGCCCTTTTAGGTTATATCGGTTGAAGGTAGATGCGCGTTCGATTGGTTTTCCAGTTGCCAGGGCCATCCGTTTTTCCAAAAGGTCACCTATGCAAGTCCACCAATCCAAACCAAGAGCCGACTTTCTCCCAATGGCCAAACCCATCCAAGTCAGCCGAGCGAGTCAGGTCTTTTCCAAGTCGGCGCTGGGGGCATACTTATCCCAGCACGGCCGCTGCGAGTCCCAACTACCCTTCTGGTCCTGGGGGGAAGACAGGCGCGGACGCGGTCAAATTCGGGGCGTTGAGGTTGTGATGTCGGGGGGCCATCATTACCAAAGGAAGCCAAGAGAAACATGGCTTTCAATCTCATCTTGTTGGTTTCAACACCTCACACATTTTTGGTTGACAAGGTGAGCATAGCGGTGGGAAATGGCACACGCCCCTAGTCCAACCAAAAGTAGAGGCGTTTGTAGTTGGGGGAAAGAGGCAGTTGTGCCAGCGGGAAACGGTGTGGTGGAAACCTCCGAGGTGCGTCTTGGGCACTTGCAAAGGTTTGGTTTGTGACCGCAGGCTTCATGATGAAGCTTCAGGAACACCGTGCTTATGTGCGGGTGCATGATGATTTGCTCATAACGCCAAACTTTGGAATTTCTTGCGCAAACGCTCATTTGGGTATTTGTCAAAATAGCGGGACGCCAAGCACGGTTTTCTTTTTGGTTCCTTCAAGCTGATCGCCGATCGAGGGTCCAGAGGGGGTCAGGGGCTTTCTGAACCCCAGCTGAGCCACGGAGTCTTTGGCGAAGGGGGGGTGTTCCTGTCCTTTGGGAAGCTTTAAGGGAACAAACGAACCAACTGGTTTGGGTGTGTGTTTTTTCAGGGCACCCCTTCTTGGGCTCAGTTTAAACGGCCAAAGGAAACACCACACATTCTTGCGGTATCGCTTGGCACACCAATTCTCAGGGTCACCCACTTTTCGCAAGCAGAGCCTTGCTGGTCCAACTATCAGTGGAGGCTGCCACTTGCAGGAGGAATGGCACCTCACAAAGAGACGTCAAACCACCCATCAGGGTTAATTGAGCATATCTTTTAAGATTTGATTGTTTGCTTTTTCCCAGGGCCTCAACCCCTTGTTTAGGGAACTCAGTTTTGTGCGTCACCTTTGCCCCCCTTTCGAAAATGCTTTCCGCCCACTGACTTGCAAGTTTCACCTGTTGAAGGGACACAGACAAGTTCGCGAAGCCAGACAAAACGGTTGTGGCAGCAGAAGGACAGTTCCAAGAAGGGAACGGAATAACTGGTACAATACCTCAAGAAGACACGTGGGCCAGAAAATGACCTTTACCAGCTGATTTGGATCCGACTCCTTGTGGGGCAAGTGGTTTTATCCTTGGACCTGTGAGCACACCTGGATGGGCCTTTCGTGCCAGGTACATGGCCAACTGCCTAGAGTCGCTGGGTGTGGCTCGGCAAGTGAAACGCCAAGGGCTACTGTATGGGCCCCAGCCGTATAGAAGGCCCATAGCCCATAGCCCTTACAGAGCGCTATGGGCTTAACCCCCACAAAATCCCCCTTTGTATGTGTTTCGAGCGGCGAACAACAAATGGAGCAGATGCGAGCGACTAGCAACAATGCAGGTCCATTACTTGAAATCCGATGCTGACTTCAGGTTTTGGACATATTGTAGAATGTGCAGATAAAATGGTTGGCATTCTTTTGGCTTCCCTTTGAATACCAACCCAAAGCGGGATAAATACAGCCTCATACTGATTTTGGTTTCCGACGGGCCCCAAGATGAAGCCTCCTGGTATTCCGTGGGACATCCTGCACAAGTTTTCAGGTCGTTACTCCCCAGTCTTCGCAAGGTGTCAGCAATGCCTTCATAGAGTATAGTCTTGTCCATCAGTGGAGAACCCTTATTTTAGGTTGGTGAATTAAAATGTACGGACGCCGGATTCATAGACCTCACGGACCCAGACATTCCAGCAATTTGAACCGTCAAAGTGAGTTGGACATTTGTTCGGACGTTCAGAAAGACCGCGTTACAACACTTGGACATTAGGACTGCCCTACCCCCCCGCAAAGGTCCTCAGAAGCCTTTGCATAAAATCCTTAAAGAAAGTTCGATTAGAACATTTTCTGGGTGAGATCTCTTTCATCGGGTCAACCGTGTGCGGAAACGATTGCGGATGCTATTTGCAGCTGGAACAAAGTCTTTGAGTCGCACAGTTGGCTTGAAACCCTAGGCCTCGATGCACATGAACTCGAGTGATTCAAAGTTGAGGATCCTTGAGTTTTCTGGCTCCAGCTTGCTTCTTGTCCAATATTTTCTACGGAGTTGGGGCTGTCTCCCATTTTGGCCGACAACTTCAGTTCATCATGGTCTGTGGTACCCTTTTTCCCTTTTTGTTTGGTGGGCTTCCCACTCCAAATGGTCAGCCCCCCAAACGAAGGAATGTTTCATTTCTTCCAAGGTCACTCACAGGGCAACTGGATCAGGGGTTGAAGATGGTTGCAAATGCAATCTGTGCCGCGCCCCCTTCGCTTTCCCAATCCCTAAAGGGTCGGGTTCCTGTTGAGGCCCCTTGTCATGGGGGTCCCTGGAAAAGTATCCCGGACTCCAAGTTTGCTTGGGTACTTTTGTTCCAGGCATTTGGGTGGTCGGTTTCTTGGAAGGTCCCTCGTTTTGTTGGTTGTTGTTGCTCTAACCCAAGGAATTCCTCCATTTGCTTGTCGGTCGTTGTTGTTGTTTTTAGGCAACGGTCCGCATTTCCGTTTTCCCCTAAAACGATGTAATTCCCCCAACTTCCGCACTTGGATCCAGGTTTCTTGGGAATTTCGGGGGAGCTGACAACTAACACCTGTTTCGGGGGTGACTTTGGAGAGAACTCGACAGGTGGCCACTCAGCCGGATTACCTGAACTTCCTCCACGACGAGCGGTGCTGGGGCGTGGACTGTGGCAACAAGAACGTGGTGGCCTTTCACTCGCCACAAGCCTCAGATTTTGGTTCCCATGGCCACTCGCGGTCGACCATTTGCAACTCAAAGGTATAACCTGTTGGAATTCAAAGGATCGCAGTGATACACCCAGGGCCCTCAAAAGATCAGACGAAAGGACTTGGGGGTTTTGAAGATTCGGGTTGAGCACCCGAAGCTTTTGGCGACGGCGCCGCACGGTTTGGAGTTCGAAACTTGAGGCCTCAAGGTTTCCTCAATCAGCCTCAAATCTAGAATGCCCCTTGTTTCATGGGCCCTTGCCCGAAGTAAACCCGGAAATCTCTCCTGGAAGATTTGGGTATGTGTTTTCCGTTGTTGCAGAGCCTTGACGGGAACCCAAAGGAAAAGTACATTTTTTGGGTCCAAGTCCTACTTAGACTTTAGACCTCCTTTACGTGGGACCTATGGTCATTGACACATCTTCGCAAGGATGGTGGATCCCTTTCTCCTAGTGAGTTGTGCGTGGTCTCCCTCGGCCCTTGAAACGGGTGCTGAGCGTTGTTGCAGTTTTGCAACCATCGGGTCAAACGACCCCAAGCAACAGGCTGGTTTTCTCATCTACCTTTAACCCCTCAGAGTTGGCAATCTCCTTGGGCGGAGCTGGAAGCATGATTTCTCTTGAGTGTGACCGTCGTTTGCTTGGATACCTGACTCCCAGTGCTGGGTTCCATGGGCTCATGTCGCGGATCGCGGGTCGCGGGGCTCCTTGGACGCTCAGGTTCAAGTATGTGAATACATGGATGCGCTGCTACCTCAGCTCCAAGTGAGATTCCGCCCGCCAGAAGGACGCGTGACGCCTAGCGTCGCGAAGCAGATGCATACTGCATGGCCAGCAACAGCAACACGCAAAGCGTGTCGGAATGTGCCTGTGCTAGAAAGCTGACCCTGCCAACCAACATCGGAAACCGGATGCACAACTTGCCTAGCAGAAAGCATGTGCGTAAATGTATACTCATGCATAGGCACGTACTCATTGATACTTCAGCCATAGGGCAATGAACTTGTTGGGGTCTCAAGTGGTTGGTGGACCTACACCCCCCATGTCAATGATGCCCACCAAAGGATCCACTGTTAAAATTCACACCAATAACTATATATATATATACACATATGGTTGTATTGTATCCCATCACAGCTTTCTGACTCCAACGAAGGCTTCATGGTATTTCTGATTGCACGTGAACGCATTGTGATGTTCGTGGCGCATGAGCCTTTCAAGTCAGCCATTGCTCCTTGTTCAGCGCATTCTTTTGCGCCGTCCCTGACCAAGAGGCATCCGAAACCTGATTTGATAGGTTCACCTGAGACAAGTCTGCTCAACTTTTGGCTGCAGTCTTCATCTTGGTCAACGCACCCGAGCAGAGTGGCTTTTTGCCCTGAGTGGCTTTTTGCCCAGTAAAACATCTGGCAAATGCATGGAGGTCGCAAACAAGCTGTCATGTCTCAGTGCCTCCAGCGTGCAACCAGTTGGTTTGCGGATCAGATTGAACACAATTCGCCAAGTGCGAAGCTGGGAGAAGCATCTTCTTTGCCCACCTTTCGGCTTTCATTTGCCTTGGTTGAGGACTGCCTCCCTTTGGCACCTCCTCTGTTTTTTTTGTTTTGTTTTTTTTTCGGCAAACCTCGGGCACCCCCATTGTCCATGGGCCAATGGAGCGACCTGTTTTCGTGGGTTATCGGGAGTTGGGCTAGGCTAAGCCGCGCATTTTCCTCGGTCCAAAACCAGGAGCTCGGCTGCGAGGCTTCTTCCCAGCTTGCAACAGGAATCCGTGGGCTGCGGAATTCGCCGGGACGACCGCCGGCCATACCTTGAGCCAGAGGAGTTCTTTCGGATCCCGGGAATTTCCCTCGAACCGAATAAGATGATTTGTTGGACAACGGAGTTTCATAGCCTTTCAGCATCTTGGATTTTCGGCTCACGAGCGAAGACCCCAGAGTTAGGTTCGTTCGGCACCCTCCGCACAAAAGGTGGCCAGTTAGCAGCGGGATGCGTCCAGCACTCGGTCCGTTTCAAAGTCGGCTCCCTGCAATTGTTTTTTGACACTTCCCCTGCGACATGTTTTGTTTGAGGGTGTTTTGTAAATTGGGACCCCTTTTCGGTGTCTGTTTGGGCAGAGTCCAAGTACCAGTTTTATTGGTATGCTGTTTGGCTTGACCTTGAGCATAGTAACGGTAACGTTTCGTACCTCCAATGTTGAAGCAAGCTGATGACTGCCACAAACCTCTCATTTGCATTTTAAGGTTGCCCGAGTTTCGTTGATGCAATCTCACAATTTCCTGTTTCATTGGTGCATCAGCCGAGGTATCATAGATCTACCTTCAAAGGGTTTTGCTGGACGAGCTGCCTGAAGGTTGCTTAGGAGTTCCCTATTTTGGCTTGGTGCGTTATCACGATTCATCCAGATGTATGAACCCAGGTTGCGCATCTGGAACTGATTTTTGGAGTTGTATCGAGGTCTTGGCGAAATCTAAAGACTCCTATCTCCCGGGTCCCCAAATGGCGGAGCAACTCGGAGATGGGGGATTCGTCGATTAGCCGCTATCCGGCCGCGGGCGCACAGCTGCAGCTGGGTAGTGTTTGATTGGATTGCCTCAGGGACGATGCTACGATTCGCAGGCCTCATGCACTTTGGGTTGAAATGTGTGGCTGCGTCTTTTTAGGGGATCATGCTGATGTTTGGGGTGTTTTGCGTTTTGGTTTCCCTTTAAAGCGGCCAAGAAAGGAGTGCTCCAAAAAAACAGACATACACTTTGGTCATAGTCTCCAAGAGCCCCTTCTACGAAGGTTCAATTGACATCTGCCGGGGTGGCGGAGGGCCTTTGGTTCACTTCTGGGATGTTGCGTCGTGTATGGCTCTCCTTCAACCTTTCCTTTAATCACTCGGAGCACGTGTGTGTGTGTGTGTGTGTGTGCGCCAAAAAAGGGAGACTCTAAAATGTGCGGCTTTCTTTTGGTTTCCCTTGAAAAGGGGGTACCCTAAAAACACACAGGCACACACACACACACACAAATGCAGCGTTGAACAACATGACCATCCCAGGCGTGCTTCGTGTCTAAAACGCCACCCGGAATCCGGAAAAGCTTATCCCAAATTTTCTGGATCGCTTCTTTTGCAGAGTTGCTCCGATCCTGGAACATTGCTTTTTCTGCTTTTGAGTGCAGCGGCGAAACAAGCGTGTGGCCTTTTCTGACCTCTTTTGGAGTGGTTTGAAAGGGACACCAAAACGAAACCATCCAGTTTGTTGGGGCTCTATTTTGACACGACCTGTTGGCCTATTTCTTGGAGGGAACCGAGTCTTCTTTCGCATCGGTTGGACGTCCCGAGGCACTTAGGTTTAGACCGGCCCAAGACAACCTACGCCCGCGCGGGTGCTTGGACGAACGGAGAGGCACGCGAGCAACCCTGAACGCGCGCGCACACAGGCGCTTCTATTGGTGGTCCCCCCTTTCGACGCTGGTTGTAAGGGAAACTAAAGGGAACCGTAGGTTCCTCTATTTTGATACAGGCCCACATTTTGTTGTATATATTTTGTATGTTTGGGCAACAAAGGCGACCTCACAAAGGGGATTACGGCTTGTTGTTCGGAAACTTATGACATGTGTGCGTGTTATGTGGGTGTTTCGCAAAACTAGTCATCCCTTTTGGGCGGCAACGTTTCCTCGGGTCGTTCAATCGCATCCTCCGCTGAAAGGCCCCCCGAAGTGCCTGATTTAACGCCTCTCCCCTTCAGCTTTCTGCCTTCTTCCACGCGCGTCGTTTCGACGATGGATGGTCACTGGTTGTGGAAAGGTCCTCTCAAAGTACTTCTGGTGTCCCCTAGGTATTTTTGGAAATGCCATTACTTTGATTTTTCTATGACAATGAAACCGTTCTTGGATAGTTTGTTTGACATATGTATTCTCCACCAAGGGCGTCAAAGCGACCATCAGTTCCGCTTCGGGCGCCATGGCTCAGTTTGCCATGCCGCAGCTCAAATTTCGGGTTGGCGAGTTGCCCAAAGTGGCTTCGCACGGCTCCGAGAGGCGCAAGTGACGAAGTGACTCGAGTCACAACGGTCGAGTGGATGACCCAATTTCTCCCAAGAAGGGGGGGCGGCCTAAATCAAGAAACCCGAAACCCTGTTGAGGTTCTTGTAGGGAAGTTTTCTCACAGTCGCCGCCCGGCGCCGTAGCCCAACGATGGGACCGCTTCTTGCGCAGCAACAAGCTTTTCCCCGACATCAGCTCGTCGCAGCCCTGCCCAGTGACCCGTTCAAAGAGGCGCAGTACGCCTGTTCCTTTGTGTACCTACGCTTCATTAGGTACGCTTTGCCTTCCTGGGGTTTGGATCAGAATAGGAATCCCTCCACACGGGGTTGCTTTCTGCCATTTCAAAGAGAATGAACAAGGCCATGTTGAACCGTTTGTCAAGTCCTATCAACCCGCAAGGAAGCACTACCGTATTCTTCCCTTTGGGGGCTTTCAAAGGGACCCTGTTGGAAAACAAACCCATAAAAGACATATATGCATACCCTATTGTGCAGCATTCACACATATATGTATATATACATAGATATACATACTATATAACAATATACATATATATATATATATAAACATGTACATATATACATATGCACACACGATAGCAAACAACACACCCCTCCAATCAGGATTTGCCAGCTGATCAGAAATTCGCAATAGGGCACCCCCTGCCCGAAGCCACCTTTCAAGCCACTTTACCATGAGAGTACCCTAAGTAGGGTGATGTTTAGTCGGGACTCCCAGGAAACGGCGCGCATTTTCTGAGAAGTCGACTATGAAGCACAGATTCGCTCGGGGCTGCGGCCAGAATTAATTAAACTGCCAAGTCAGGCAGACAGAGCTAGTTGCGGGGTCATCGGACGCGGAATGCCCTTCCCGGCAAAAAAGAAGCTGCCAAACCTGGTTCAGCCGCATGTCGGGTTGCGCTGGGATTGTCTTGCAAAAGGGGGCTTGTACCTGAGCGAATCAAATTCACATCCCTCCTTCTCAGACTTCTAAGGATGGCAAGGCCCAGCCTGCAACCATTAAAACCAAGCATGGACATTCGACTTTGATTCTCCGCAGGGGGCATTTGTCCATTGTTTGGTCAAACATACCCCTTTACTTGGGGTTGGTAGGCCACCATGGCACAGATTCCCCTTAAGGGAGCCATGGCCAGGACCCATGAGTTTGGAGCTTCCGAGGGATAGTAGTTTCAAATGTGTTGTTCGGGATGTTTTTTAATCTTTCAGCCTGTGGTCAACCGGCACCCTGCGCACGGCACGGCACTTTGGCGGGAAAATCTTCCGGGCCGGAGCGGCTGCGGTTGGCTTCTGGGTGGGGCTGGCTGGGGGCGGTGGTTTGCGCTTGGTCACGTTGCTGCATTGTCTATCTTGCTTGCCTCGGTGTTGCTGCTCCGCTGCTTGCCTTGCCGCTCTTCGGGTTTGTTCATATTGGAAACTCGGCAACTTGCCTCGGTTTGTGCCAGTTGGCAGCGCTTTGCTCTTGGGATTGGGAGGTGTTAACTTTCTTTCTTGTTGGTGGGTTTGGGCTTGTTTAGTAACTCCCGAAACTGTTTCAAACCCTTTCGCAAAGAGGAACTAGTGGTAGAATCGTGTATGCAACGGTTGGGACGCGCTTTGTGTGGATTCCACCTTCTCTTTCCCTTCTTGGTCTTAAATATCTACGGGGCTGGATCCACCAAGGCCGCATGTGAACTGTTTGCACCAAAGGAGAATAATGTGCGTGTGGCATCTGAAACTATGCGAAGAGGTCTTCCATTTGGCTCGGGCGAGGCGGACGTTTCTTCGCAGCTGGCCCTGGCTGTGGGCCAATCGGCCTGAGCTGAGAGAGAGAGAGAGAGAGAGAAGAGAGAATTGCACGCCTTTGGTTTGTCAACTTCACGACGAACCCTTGACCAA